GTGTAAAACTGCGTACAGTGAAGTCTATTTTGTTTTTATTGGTTTGACTTTAACAAAATGGGCCTGCAGATTTCATTCAGGGCCTGTAGATTTTAAAGCCTGCAGGCAGCAGCACGCCCTGATGGTCAACTGGCAAATTATAGTATTGCAAACACTGAGGCTACCCCACCGCTCTGCTATGACTGCTTTGTAGAACGTGGCCCTTGTGTGGAGCATTTTGAGGATAAAATACGAATATCTTTTTGATCTGTAGCAGGCCAGGGTATCTCTACGGGCTACAAAGCACGTACATGTCGCTATGTAAATTAAATCAATTGAACTTAACGATAAAATCCTCACCTCACCTATTAGCGGCGGATGGGGACAATGTGTGAAGTCCCGTGTCTCCCATCTGTGATATGGTACCTACACGCTGCGTAAAACCACATTCAATCACTCACAATATGCTTCACTTGCGACAAGTCAGTTTGAGAGATTTTACGAGTGCTCTCTCCAGTGCTAGTTCGTATTGTTTTCAATTTAATGCACAGAGGCGTCTATCGGAAAAAACAACTGGCATCAAGGTACATTTTGCCTTACTGTCTATAGAATATGAATATATATATAATATATAATCAGGTTCAGGTTCTTATATCAGGGATATAAAGTTCAGATTACTACTTCATATAATGTGATAATCAGGTTCAGGTACTTATATCAGGTATATAAAGTTCAGATTACTGCATATAATATATATATCAGGTTCAGGTTCAGGTTTTTATATCAGGTATATAAGGTTCAGATTGCTGCCTATCAGTGACTCAAATATATATATACTCAGCAGCAAAATAAACGTCAGTACGAATTCAAAATTAGATAGGCACTGTAATCAAATCATTACAGAAATGTACATAATAAGCGGATCAAAAACATTTTTTGTGTACAATATCTTGACACATCAATGAATAACAATTCCAAACATTACGTGAACGTTTGCAGTCCCTTCAGACTCTTGACTTCAGTATCTAGTGTGACCACCACGAGTGGCAACAACTGCAGCACAGCGTCCATGCATGGAGTGCACCAATCGATTGATGAAGGCCATTGGCACCTTGAACCACACTGAGAAAGGCCTGGTGCAATAAATCGGCTGTGTTCGGCCTTGGTATGACATTATTCAGTCTCCTCTGAATGTCATCCCAAAGATGTTCAATTGGGTTTAAATCAGGACTAAGGGCTGGCCACTGCATAATGTTGACACCGTTCTGCTGTAGGAGGTCCCGTGTAGCTCTGGCAATATGGGCCCGGGCGTTATCATGCTGGGAAATGTTGTTCCGGTGACGTGCGAAATGTGGTATGACGTGGGGTCTGAGAGCTTGGTCGATGTACCGCACCGCTGTGATGCCACCTTCTCTGCCTGGACCAAGGTTCTGGAACACCACAGGACCCACTCTCTGGTTCAGGCCTATTCCACCCCATACCATGATGCTTGCACCTCCCCATGAGTCTCTTTCCATAACACATTGGTCTGAGTAACGCTGGCCACGTCGTCCGCCAGAGATATTCTTGTTCTGCCATCTGCAGTTGATACGCAGTACTGACTCTCATCTGTGAACAGAACAGTTCTCCATTGCCTGTATTGCCCGTTTGGGTGTTGTAGGGCAAACTGTAGAAATTCACGCCGATGTCGAGGGGTGAGGATAGGTCCAAAGTAAGGTCTACGGCAATGGAGGTTCCCGCTGTTAAGACGTCGGCGTACTGTATCAGTACTGATTGGTCTTCCGTGTGTTCCCACTCTCTGGCGTGCTGTTTCGGATGCCTGCATGAAGGGATTCTGTACATGCTGTCGCACAACATGGCCGTCTTGTCGTCTTGTGGTCACCCTTGGTCTGCCAGTACGGGGGGGCGATCATTTGTGGTGTTGATGGCTCGGAAACGTTGCTGCAGCCTGTAGATGGTCCGAACGTTCACCTGGAAATGATTGGTAACGGCTTGTGCAGTGTGGCAAGCTTCAAGTCTTCCTAGCGCCTGGTTCCTCTGAGCTGTCGTGAGAAGGGGCATCCTGCTGACGGTGTAATGTGAATGTTTCAACCAGGTTTGGGGTGCATTTTATAGGGCTGGTCCTTGTGAACAGCACGTGCCGCATGAGTTGCATGAAAAACATGGAGAACACCGTACCATCTCCGAGATCAGGTTGCGTTTTTTGAGACCATTTCCTGGGTTTCCTGAGTTTGGGAAGGAATGTCTTTGCTCAGGTAAAGTTGGAGATGTTGTCAAAAATATACAATCAAAACATTAAATGATTTTACAGTTATCCGTTTCTGCGAAGGAAAATGCCAAACTGACGTTTCTTTTGCTGCTTAGTACATATAATCAGCGGAAAAGCCGGATAGTGTAAGTGCAGTTTTGCCCTGGACTATTATAAACTGTTTGAGAGGCCTTCTAGAAGTTGTAAGTACCGTATTTCATCTAATAAACACCGGTAGTAAAGCAGCAGTTTAAGAAACAAGCGCCGGGTACGTCTTTTATCCCAAAAATATATTTATGAAGGAATGGTCCCGTTAGTTATAAGTTCCTGTCTACCACATCTCCCAGTAAATGCAGCCCGTGAAGGTCCGGGTTAGAATTGACCTCTAGTAACTCATGCTTGTCGTAAGAGGCGACTAACGGGATCGGGTGGTCAGGCTCGCTGACTTGGTTGACACATGTCATCGTATCCCAATTGTGTAAATCGATGTTCATGCTGTTGGTCACTGGATTGTTTGGTCCAGGCTCGATTCTTTACAGACCGCCGCCATATAGCTGGAATATTGATGAGTGCAGCGTAAAACTAAACTCATTCACTCACTCAGCGGAATAAGCCCCGGGCCTCTAATAAGCGCCGGGTCTGGAAGTCCGTTAGAAATATAAGCTCCCGGGCGGTTATAAAAGGTAAAAGGACTTACAAGATTTATGGATGATCAACACAATAAGTGAGGTGAAATTAGGTTTTAACGTCGTGCTTGAGAATATTTCGCTCATATGACGACGTGCATGCGTGTGTATGTGTATGTGCGGCTGCTTGTACTAGCCCAGACTTAAGCTGGTTTTATAACATTGAGATACCATGCCGTAGTGAAGCATGAATACCCCACTCAGACACATTATACTGACTCCGTGCCGACCAGTCCTTGTTGTACCCATTAATGCCGAGCGCCAGGCAGGGACCAACAAGTACCATATTTTAACATCTTTTGGTATGACGCGGTCGGGGATCGAACCCGCGATCTTCCGTCAACGCAATAAAGAAGTTGATCATCCATAAAGACTTGTCATTCGTATGGAATATTATATGCACAAACAAAAAGGTATTTTGTTCATGACCGATGGCCGGGCTCGTATTTGCCGCCGCAGAAACACTGCAAATGCACTGTAATTATCTTGGAGCAAGAACCGTTTGGCGTTGTACATTGTTGGTGTGGGGGTGCCACTCACATGACTGTAAACTTGACCTTGTGAGGATTAGACAAAATCCGAATGGACAACGGTACATCACTGACACCCAAGACAGTTGTTGTCAGTTTATCCACGTAGAGGAGCTGTGGGGCAGCCTAGTGGTTAAAGCTTTCGCTCGTCACGCCGAAAACCTGGGTTCGATTCCCCAACATGGATACAATGTGTGAAGCCCATCTCTGGTGTCCCCCGCCAACTAAACTCACTCACTCTGACGGGGTCGGTTGACTGATGCATCGATGCTCATGATATCAATCACTGGATTGTCTTGTCCAGTCTCAAGCTTTCAGAGACCGCCGTCTGAAAAGCGGCGGTAACCAAACACTCCCCATAATGTAACAGCCCATACACATGATCAACAGCGACAGGAGGAAAATCTACAGTTTATTTGTATCACAGAAATGGTCAGTACATTACTTATATACAGATACATATATATACATTCACTAGATATACATAAGCTTTCTTTATCATACAAAATGCATTTTCATGTGACTGCTTTCTTACCCTAAATGCATAATGGAAAACAACAATAATGGACAATTTCTGAGATATTTCTGCGGAAATAGCATTTTACCACACTTAGGTCTTAAAATTCGAGATTCGATATCATAAAATCCGATATGAATGTAATGTTTATTCATTCAAGTCAAAGGCCACAGGCCCATAGGACGTACATTAACGGCATGTACACATATTTGTTATACATCAATATATAAACGATGAATAAATTTCACAAGGTACTACAGTAATACACAATGCATGATAATAACATTATTGATGTACCGATGGGTAAAGTTTAAATGCTAAGAATACATACTTACTTAGATTTAGCAATGTTTGAGGACATGTGGAATTGATAAGATTGACAAATGCTGCAACAGAGGGATGTTCATGGTATGCAGGGTGAATATATGATTTTCGTAAATTTGAAAATGCTTTGCATACAAGTAAGAAATGAAATTCATTTTGAACCACATGTATTCCGTAGCGGCTGCAGTGTGTACATAATCTGCTTTCTACATCTATTCCGATTCTTCGTCCAAGTTTAATCCTTAAATTGTGGCATCCGCATCTAAATCTTGATAAAGCTTGACGGTATATTCTTAGGTTGATATGAGTTAGATAGTGTTCGACATTTAAAACTGATTTGTAGGTAGCATATGAGCATAGTTTAGAGTTGTTTTTAATGTCTGCTTGCCATTGTTGAATATCTACGTCGACGATACGTTGTTTTATTTCTGATAGAAAGAGTGTTTTATTTCCGAAGTCCTGCATGATATTTGGCTTTGCTAAGATGCTAAGACCATAAGTTTGTTGGTTCTGCCACTGTGATAAATACGTACAATTCGTATCGTCTAAGGCCTCCCTCCATTAAACAAGTGGAAGAGTTGGATAACTGTGAAAACAAGGGAATCTTGATGCTCTAAACCAACGTTGAAACATACATAGATCTAAAAGCTGACGTTTAAAGCTCTCTCTCTCTCTCTCTCTCTCTCTCTCTGTCTCTGTCTGTCTGTCTCTCTCTCTCTCTCTCTCTCTCTCTGTGTGGATAATCCTTTACAGACTCAAATGTTTACAGATCGCCAGCATATTAATGTACCACAGCTACAGTCAAACAGACGAACAAATACGGAAGCGTTGCTGGATTATACCAGGTCCGGATTATGAAGGTCCTACTTTATCACACCACACAGTCGCACGTGGGTGTGCGTAAATTCGTTGACATTGAGCCCTCACTACATCCACATTCATTCCGTATCCCCCCGAGTTTTAACGCAACATACTCGTCGCCAAAACACTTGCTGTCTTTACAGCGGGAGTGGGGTAAGCACGGGTGGTTGTTTCGCTCCCATCCTTTTCGTATTTTGGACACATATTTGTTCACGCAAGGCAGCAGGAGAATCAGTTTCATTATAAACACAGTCACTGGTAGTATAAGACACAGAAATGTAATGGAACCAAACGTTTTAGGAAATCCGTTCTTCACCCAGCCAGGAACTCCCATTATCATCACGTGACAAATGGAAAGAAACAGTACAGTATAGCCGAGCGTTGATTGGACGAAACGCCACTCGCGCCAGTTCAACGAATCCCCGACAGAAGGCAGAGTAGTGGTTGCTAGGAGACAAAGAAAGATGAAGGCAATGATGCCAACGAGACACGCGGCCTCGCCTTTCCATATCATCCATGTTTTCATAGGAAGGTGAAGGTCGGTAGTTAGGTTGCCAGGTATAGTTATGGCGGTGGATTGGAACCATGAACTGTAGTACGTCGAGCTCATTAACAAAATGGATATCAGCACATGAGCGAAAACGAGAATAAAACAAATGATACCCAACTGTTTTCTTGATTTTAGCCAGTAATCCATCCATTTTGGAAAACGTTTGTTTTTTGTTCCATAAACCATCTGCAGAAATCCAGCAATACATCCAGGCATATAGGTCAAGGCCATTAACGTAATGGCTGTCATGCAGAGTGGTTTGTTCAACACTTTCACAAAAATCTGATCCCATCTATACGCCGTCCTGTCTATGAAATAGATGTACGTGATGTACAAACACCACAAGTTGAATATTGCAAACGTGAAGAATATTGGCACCTTCCATCCTGGGAACAATCGTAGAACAAACGCCTCTATTCTGCGTGCCGACGCCAAACCACCAAAGTCCACAGGCGCAAAACCCATATCACGCGCAATATTGCACACTACATCTCGAGCCGTGACGTCATTTCCGGCGACGAAAACCTTTCTACTTCCGCCGGCGATGTCGTTTTCCATAACGTAAGCGGAGATAATGTTGAAGGCCTTGACGATTTTGGCTTTTGGTAGAAAGGTCATCAAATATTCTGAGTTGGACACTTTGCCAGAGATGTTTTCCCTGTTCGATACATCAATGACAATTTTATCTGCGAACAGTTCTCCCAGCGGCGAAAATGTGTCGTTGAAGTTCTCCACGTGAACCGATATGAAGACAACGTTGCACATTCGCACACATTCCGTGATGGTTGTGAGCCGAACGTCACACAAGCACTCGTCATATTCCGATAGTTGTCGGTACTCAGGTCTTCGACTACCGATGATGACGTCATAGCCAGAAAAGATCAACCGTTTTGCAAGAGCTCTGCCGAAATTGCCAGTTCCGATGATTCCAACTCTCTTGGCACTTTCTTTATCTTCTCCCTCCATCACAACTTCTGGTGGGTTGGGTTCGCCGATAATCTGAATCATAAAAAGGTATACGTGAAAACGATGCATTAGTCTGTCATGCAGACCCTGAAACAAAAATACCAAATACAAACCATCCAAGTCTATAATTTGTTGGAAGTCAAGATAACCAAAGTTTCGGGCTGAAAATGAAGAAAGCCCTTGGGCTCCTTTTTGTTATATTTAATAATAAATTTAGGAACGTTTTCTCCGTAACATGTGTTTATTTCAAAGACTATATGTTGGTCTAGGTATGTACACAAGCAAAAATGTAACGCACCTACCATCTACCATAGGAAAAAATACAGACATACCTTTTATTCAGTAATAGGCCACTGGCCCAAAATACATTCATAGATATGATAAGAAGGTACATGCGTTTTACATAAAACACCAGAATCTCTTATTTTCCCAACATTATATAAAAATAGGCATAAATTATTTATAATATTATGTTTGTTGAAGTCATTATGTTTAAAATCTGTGTTGTGAAATAGGATGCTTCAAATATCTATCCAGAAACCTATTCCTTATATCTAGATAGGCTTTACAATAAAGTAAAACATGTATTTCATCTTCAATTAAATAAATATTAATTTTGTGGCAAAAAGGACAGAATCTTGAATCATAAGGGACATTGTTATATCTACCGGTCTCAGAACTAAGTTTAAATTTACTGCATCTAAATTTTGTTAAACATTTTCTTAAATATTGGGTAATATCTACACTGAGAAAAGTTTCAACATTCAGGAGGGCCTTGAAAAGTATATATAGAACACTTGGTTGTATTTTGTAGGGATGAGTACCAATCTTGTGAAAGATTATCAGACAATCTTTGCTTAAAAACAGAAATGAAACCATCAGTATTTCCAATATCCTGTGAAATCCAAACAAAGCAAAACCCAAATCTAAATAAAATATTCTTGATATGAGATGCCCATGTCGTCCGTCCAGATTCATCCAAAGACTTTCGCGTTAAATGAAACTGATGAGATAATCTACAACTTGGAAGAGTTAAAAGTCTACACCAATATTTAACTGCCCTTGACATAAAAGTAAGTTGAAGAGGGAATCTGCCACATTCTTCACGTTTTTAATTTTCCCTACTGGTTTTATAAATCCCCATATTAGTTCGGGTTTTATAAAACCCCTATTTACTTCGGGTTTTTTAAATTCCCAAACAGGGGATGTTTTAAACGTCTGATTTACTTCGGATATTTGTGTTGTAATTCCACTTTTTACTTAGGGTTCTAAAAATGCCCCTACGGGAATTTCGGCAAACATTTAAAAGTTCAGAAGTCTAAAACCCGATTTACCTCGGGCTTTGATCCCGTTTACGCAACGTGTGTCTAATGCAGATGATAGCAGCATTAAGCCAAACTCACTTGTATATTTTGACTAAATGAACCCACAAAAGCCCGGTGAGTTAACATCAAATGAAAAATCTCCGATATAATTGATGTTATCCACACATCCGTGATGAACAATATTCCAAGAATAACGGATGTTGGAGCTGGACGCCGAAAACCTCCGGATTTCAAATCCGTACACGCACCTTATACTTACATACAAAAGTACCTTCATTTTACGAGTGTATTGATAACTAAAATTTCATTGCAATCATGAGATTGGTACTACATTACTTTTGTTGATTAATATTCATTGCATACTGAACCGCAAAAGAAACGCGATTTTCAAAACCAAATGCTAAATTTTGTTAAATTTTATTGTGATTGTACCGTTTTGTTAACATGTTTTTCAATCCAAATTGACAGTTATTACCAACATCAGTGTGTTTTCTGATGAAAAAGCATATCGACCAAACGCACCGAAAAAGGCATAAGCGGTAAAAGGTTCCGTATGACATTCGCGAAAATGAAAATGCACGTGTATATCGTGACAACCCTACCAATGAAAGCGAGTCCCAAACTCGCCTGAAATAATTCTTGTGTTGACACAATCGCCATACCACGACTTACGAGAGATGAGAGGAACCAAGCCTTGGGACGATTGCAAGCTTGACAGGCTGCACGGAGGGTAGTCAATCTTTTAAATGTTCATGTCAGGACAATCTACCGACAGCAGGAACGGTATCAGGCCACTAACAGCATCCAAGACCGTCCACGCAGTGGACGACCCGCAGTAACATCACAACGTCAAGACCGACAGATTGTGCACAATCATCTGCAGGATCGCTTCACCGGAGCCACAGAAACAGCTCGCCAGACCACTGGGACTCACAACAGACTCATTAGTGCCGATACAGGGCGTTGACGTCTGCGCGAAAGAAACCTCTGCTGTCACTGACCATGCCGTGGTCCTGTCCTCAACGCTCGTTACTGCCAAAACCGACTGCAATGGGCAACTCAGCATCGAAATTGACGTTATCGAGAATGGAGATCTGTGTTTTTCTGTCCCGCGCCTCGATATTACTGGAATATTGCTAAAAGCGGCACAAAACTAAACTCACTCAATGACATCCTTCACTGTGTACTAGGAACAAGGAAATGGAGGGTTATGCTCACACCTCAATTTTTCTATTCCCGTCAAAGTGACTAAACATGAATAGGAACAACATGACCCGTCGTATTACCAATGGGAAAGACTCAATACATGGACCCAAGTCATTCCTATTATGAGTATGTATATCTGAAGGAAAAGAATATGTGTAATGTCGAATGTAAAATAATAATGGATTTTGTTTTTCAGTACACTGCAATAATCCTGGAAATAAGAAACTGCCACGTTCACACTAATCTGAAATGTCAGCAGTATTTTGTTGTTGTTTCTGTTGTTTTTGTTTGTTTGTTTGTTGTGTTGTTTATTTTGTTTTTTTCGTTTTGAATTTTTGTTGTTGTTTGTTTGTTTTTGTTGTTTTGTTGTTGTTGTTTTGGGGGGGTTGTTATGACTTTGTTGTCGTATAACGAGTTTTGTGATTTTGTGTATATTATTACTACACATTGAATAGACACGGCTGACATTCGGGGAGTCAGTATACAAGATGTGAATTCTCTTTGTTGTATGGATAAATGACACGAGTTCCATCTAATACGATGAATAATCATCACACACATCCACAATTCACTACAACCCATCAAAATTCCCTTCAGATATTCTCATTTAACCTGAAAAGTGTCTAATAATACAGCCACAATGTTAGTCTATCACAAAGACCCGGAAACAAATATACCTCATACAGCCTATGCAAGTCTACAATATGTGGTACGTTTAAATTTCTGAAAATTAAAAGTGTTTGGATTCATTTTCATTTTGTTTTATTAATACAATTAAAGAACTATTTTCGGTCAAATATATCCATTATAGAGACTAGATGTTAGTCACAGTGCCTACCTTGCTGTAAGACAGTCGTTCACAGTAAATCACGTTCACAGTGGAATATCACTACTCCATATTGTCGTCCTTGGATAAGGTAACGGAATACATGTACACCGATGGGATCCGAATGGCCGGAATGATGAGGACAGTGGGGTTTATATCAACGCAGTGGAAAATAGATAAATCGAGTTATGAGTAGCGAGCTCAAACCGATACACCACAACAGCCGTCAGATCGCCGATAAGAAACAACAAAAGCGTTCGTGACGAGTTGTGAGCGTGGCCTCATTTCCTGGTCTCTATCCTGTAAATGAGACCCCATTTCCACGTTACGAACAAGCCAATCCGTGATTCAATTGAAAACATACGCACGTCATACTTGCTCGCCTCGGGCGTGTATTTCCGATGGGGTGCGACAAGGGGAAGCGCTTAGTCATTTACTGATAGTGTTAACCGCGGAATGTTGTTAATTGTCCTTTGACATTTAACGTGTACATATATTTTCATGTTTTGTTAATCTAATTGCATGATACAATATGTGGTAAGTAAATATAATCTTTGTTTTGGGATGGTGTTTCTTTTTGTTTTGTTTTTTATCCAGATATTCGATATGCTTTGTGTATCGCTATTTCAGTTACCGTATTCACTGTTCACAAATAGCCTTATAAAGACTATTCCTCAGAGTTTATTCAGTTTTTATTCTCTCTTTGTTGTATTCAGTTCTAGTACTGTCCCTTCAGAGGATCAGAAGACTGACAGGGGTATGATGAGGAGAGTAACAGCAACATGGAGGCGACACTTGGTACTGACATTGATCGTGTAAGACACGCAAAATGACATTTTGAATAAATATAAATTCAACATTAAACTTTCCAGGGTCCAGACATAGTTTTGTATGAAAATCAGTGGGTTTTTTTTTAAATGAGCAATTATCATCATGAAATCAACACGGATTCCAATCATTTTTGTCGTATTTTATGAGTCAAAGGAAAATATAAACAAGAAATAAGCACCCGCAACATTACAGATCTGTCGCTGTTCGGACTGCCTCGATGCGTTGCAAGTTTCACAGATAACACGTCTATGGTAGGTGTTTGTTTACAAACAGAGACAAACGAAGCATCGTAACATAAGATAAGGCTGCATCTAATCATACACGAATAGTGTTATCAGTGCGATACATCAATCGGATTGACCAAGACTATCTGATAAATTGGCCAATAGTATCGCGTTACACAATATTCGGTTGATAAGATTCGATCTGTTCAATGACGTCATGTATATCTGCTCGAAAAGTTATATAACTTGTAGTTTGGACGGTGGTGCGACCTAGCGGTTATGTTCACTTGTCACGCCGAGTCCCAAATTGGGAACAGTTAGTCTGTCTCACTGCCCCCTTATATACTTATATACATGACACATTTTCTCCAATTGCATGATACAACAGTAGAAAGTTTGAAACCGATCAAAACGGTTTTCAAAATAAACAAAGGTAACCCTTATAACTATAACTTTATATTGTCGTCATTGACGCACGACATCAATCAAACATCAATATGAACTTACTTGCGCATGCAAGACATCAATTCGAAATTACAACCAGGCGCTTGGTGAAACAACAGCATTTAAATATGACCCCTGTCAAATTAAAATTAAAACTTCCTCCAGGCAGGTATTATTTCTTTTTACGTGCCTTTCCAAATTCTAAACTCTTTATCCAGGAAATACGATGCTTTCTTGAGGTTTATTGTGACATATGTCATTAAATTTAAGGAGCAGTTGTAATAAGACCTCCAGCCTGGCTCGAGGCAGTGTCTACGTCATGGAGTGTGATTGATTAGGCTGCATGGTGAATCGGGGTGTTCCCGGGAAGTAGAATTTGGTTGTTACAGTATCATCTCCTTGATGTTGTGCCGGTGTTGTTATGAGGGATTACGTTACTGGGTGATGTAGAATTCTGAACTATGTGGTGAAATATGATTTGAATTTACTGAGTTCATTTACTGAGTTTATAATGATACTGATTAATGTGTTAACTCAATCAATGTGAGTGAAACTGATTTATTTGTTCACTCAACCAGTGCCATCCAGTACACTTACATACCTTGCTGTGTGTGAAGAGACGCTGGATGGATGCTGCTGGATGTCAACGCAGCTGAATGTGACGTCCACGTTAAATAAAGTGATAAAAGATGGTTGGCGATGCTAAAAGTCATACAGATAGTTGGCGTTATTAAAACTCATCAAGATGGTTGGCGTTATTAAAAGTCATCAAGATGGTTGGCGTTATTAAAAGTCATCAAGATGGTTGGCGTTATTAAAAGTCATCAAGATGGTTGGCGTTATTAAAAGTCATCAAGATGGTTGGCGTTATTAAAAGTCATCAAGATGGTTGGCGTTATTAAAAGTCATCAAGATGGTTGGCGTTATTAAAAGTCATCAAGATGGTTGGCGTTATTAAAAGTCATCAAGATGGTTGGCGTTATTAAAAGTCATCAAGATGGTTGGCGTTATTAAAAGTCATCAAGATGGTTGGCGTTATTAAAAGTCATCAAGATGGTTGGCGTTATCAAAAGTCATCAAGATGGTTGGCGTTATCAAAAGTCATCAAGATGGCTGGCGTTATTAAAGTCAAAGTCATCAAGATGGTTGGCGTTATCAAAAGTCATCAAGATGATGGTTGTCATCAAGATGTTTATTAAAAGTCATCAAAGATGGTTGGCGTTATTAAAAGTCATCAAGATGGTTGGCGTTATTAAAAGTCATCAAGATGGTTGGCGTTATTAAAAGTCATCAAGATGGTTGGCGTTATTAAAAGTCATCAAGATGGTTGGCGTTATTAAAAAGATGTCATCAAGATGGTTGGCGTTATCAAAAGTCATCAAAGATGGCTGGCGTTATTAAAAGTCATCAAGATGGTTGGCGTTATCAAAAGTCATCAAGATGGTTGGCGTTATTAAAAGTCATCAAGATGGTTGGCGTTATCAAAAGTCATCAAGATGGCTGGCGTTATTAAAAGTCATCAAGATGGTTGGCGTTATCAAAAGTCATGGCAAGATGGCTGGCGTTATTAAAAGTCATCAAGATGGTTGGCGTTATCAAAAGTCATAAAAGTCATCAAGATGGTTGGCGTTATTAAAAGTCATCAAGATGGTTGGCGTTATCAAAAGTCATCAAGATGGCTGGCGTTATCAAAAGTCATCAAGATGGTTGGCGTTATCAAAAGTCATCAAGATGGTTGGCGTTATCAAAAGTCATCAAGATGGTTGGCGTTATTAAAAGTCATCAAGATGGTTGGCGTTATTAAAAGTCATCAAGATGGTTGGCGTTATCAAAAGTCATAAAAGTCAAAGATGGTTGGCGTTATTAAAAGTCATCACAGATGAAAGTCATTGGATGTTATCAAAAGTCATCAAGATGGTTGGCGTTATTAAAAGTCATCAAGATGGCTGGCGTTATTAAAAGTCATAAAGATGGCTGGCGTTATCAAAAGTCATCAAGATGGTTGGCAAGATTATTATCAAAAGTCATCAAGATGGTTGGCGTTATCAAAAGTCATCAAGATGGTTGGCGTTATTAAAAGTCATCAAAGATGGCTGGCGTTATTAAAAGTCATCAAGATGGCTGGCGTTATTGGCGGCGTTATTAAAAGTCATCAAGATGGTTGGCGTTATTCAAAATGTCATCAAAGATGGTTGGCGTTATCAAAAGTCATGTTATCAAAAGTCATCAAGATGGGTTGGCGTTATTATCAAAAGTCATCAAAGATGGTTGGCGTTATTAAAAGTCATCAAGATGGTTGGCGTTATTAAAAGTCATCAAAGATGGCTGGCGTTATCAAAAGTCATCAAAGATGGCTGGCGTTATTAAAAGTCATAAAGATGGTTGGCGTTATCAATCAAGATGGTTGGCGTTATTAAAAGATGATGGTTGGCGTTATTAAAAGTCATCAAGATGGTTGGCGTTATCAAAAGTCATCAAGATGGTTGGCGTTATCAAAAGTCATCAAGATGGTTGGCGTTATTCAAAAGTCATAAAGATGGTTGGCGTTATCAAAAGTCATCAAGATGGTTGGCGTTATTAAAAGTCATCAAGATGGCTGGCGTTATCAAAAGTCATAAAGATGGTTGGCGTTATCAAAAGTCATCAAGATGGTTGGCGTTATCAAAAGTCATCAAGATGGCTGGCGTTATTAAAAGTCATCAAGATGGTTGGCGTTATCAAAAGTCATAAAGATGGTCATCAGATGGATTGGCGTTATCAAAAGTCATACAGATGGCTGGCGTTATCAAAAGTCATCAAGATGGCTGGCGTTATTAAAGTCAAGAAGATGACTCGTTATTAAAAGTCACAAGATGGTTGGCGTTATCAAAAGTAAAAGTCATCAAGATGGTTGGCGTTATTAAAAGTCATACAGATGGTTGGCGTTATCAAAAGTCATCAAGATGGCTGGCGTTATCAAAAGTCATCAAGATGGTTGGCGTTATTCAAAAGTCATCAAGATGACTGGCGTTATCAAAAGTCATACAGATGGCTGGCGTTATCAAAAGTCATCAAAGATGGTTGGCGTTATTATCAAAGTGGCATCAAAATGGAAGATGGTTGGCGTTATCAAAAGTCATAAAAGTGTCGTATAAAAGATGGTTGGCGTTATTAAAAGTCATCAAGATGGCTTGGCGTTATTAAAAGTCATAAGATGGCGTTATTAAAAGTCATCAAGATGGCTTGGCGTTATCAAAAGTCATTATAGATGGTTGGCGTTATCAAAATCAAGTCATTATCAAAAGATGGTTGGCGTTATCAAAAGTCATCAAGATGGCTGGCGTTATTAAAAGTCATAAAGATGGTTGGCGTTATCAAAAGTCATCAAGATGGTTGGCGTTATCAAAAGTCATCAAGATGGTTGGCGTTATCAAAAGTCATCAAGATGGTTGGCGTTATTAAAAGTCATACAGATGGCTGGCGTTATCAAAAGTCATCAAGATGGTTGGCGTTATCAAAAGTCATCAAGATGGTTGGCGTTATCAAAAGTCATCAAGATGGCTGGCGTTATTAAAAGTCATAAAGATGGCTGGCGTTATCAAAAGTCATCAAAGATGGTTGGCGTTATTAAAAGTCAAGTCATCAAGATGGTTGGCGTTATTAAAAGTCATACAGATGGTTGGCGTTATTCAAAGAAGATGGTTGGCGTTATCAAAAGTCATCAAGATGGTTGGCGTTATTAAAAGTCATCAAGATGGTTGGCGTTATCAAAAGTCATCAAGATGGCTGGCGTTATTAAAAGTCATC